GGGGAGGGATTTTCCCTGGGGGTTCCCTGGGTGTTTGGGTGGCAGTGTGTCATGTCCCACTGTCAACGTTGCTAAGCTTGATCACAGAGTTAGGTGGTGATGGACATCTCCACCTGGAAGGGACCTCTCCCTCTTGCTACTGGTGCATAACATATGGCGCCATTCTTTGGCACCAAGATAATGTCCAGCTCCCCACCATTCTGTCTTCCACTAGTGGCTTTAGCATCTATTAATGATTCAGTTTTTCATTTTGATTGGTCTCAACTTAAAAGAACTATGTTTACAAACAAGGATTCAGTTATAAACTTGGAAGATCTATTACCTCCCATGACCTTAAACCCACATGGGGAAAACTTGGGTCTGTATTGAATTAGTTGTCAGATGCAGGGTTGAAGCAGGAGGAAGGAATGGGCAGAGAAGGAACTGTGCATGGACAGATCGGCGGGACACGGGCCGGCCCTGCAGTGGGTCACATATGCTAAGTGTTAATCGCCGCTTCAAGCCTGTAGGAACACCTTTCTTGTGTCTTCTTCCAGGTTGCAGGAGAAAGGAAGGGCAGGTGTTTTTAGCAGAAATCAAGGTAGAACTTGGTAGCTGTATTGCCCCTAGAAACTGGAAGATGGGTAGGTGTGGAGGTCGCAATGGATCTTTCTTAACTAAGTTTGTTTTTGCAGAATTCTATGTGAAATTTACTCATGTGCTCGAACTGGCTTCTTGAAACAGGCTGCCATTTGGATTGGGGACTGATTCATATTGTGGGCTTCTCTAGGACTTTTGAGAGTGTGTGAGAAGTTTCTGAGCCCAAAAGGCTCCTTTTTTGGCACTGTAGCATCTTTCCTATTTCGGCATCTCAAGAATCTGGGGGAGCCATATAAAGATCAGAAACAAGTCTGGCCCTAAAGGCTCCCTCTGACTTGGTAATTCCAGCGAATTGAATGCTGGCCCAGTCGGATGAGACCATATAAAGAGGCTGTTTCCTGAATTTCCCGCTCTCTGCCTCTCACAGGCTCCTTTCTGTGGAGAGCTGGTATTTGAGGACCGCAACCACCAGTCACGTGCTTCCAACTCTTTACTCGCTGTTATTCCTGCCCCTGTTTTATTTTTGGACAGAACACATTTTTGCTTCTCTTCAGGAGCTATGCGGGGTCCTGCCCCCTCTGTCCATCAGGCGGCGGCCCCGGCAAGCTGTGCTTATTTCCCACACTCAGAGACGTGACTCCAGCTTTCAAGAGAGAACACCAGGGATGCACGGCCTAAGGGCCACCGTCACCCGTTCCTATTTCTGTCCCTCCTGGTGGTGCACATTTTAAGACTCTTTCTTTTTTTAAAACAAGATTGGGTAATGTTACCTGGCAGTAAATCTGCCAAAATTGGAAATCGTTTTCACAGCCGTTGTCTTGGGGCTGTGCCCCTGACTTTCAGAAGCAGAGCAATTTAAAGAATAAACTGGGACTTGGGGATTCTAGGATCAGGTCTGCTTTCCAGCTTTTTTCGCTTGCTCCCATCCACTTTCTCCTCCCTCCTCTTTAACTCAGAGCAAGTAGATTTCTTCCAAAGTGCTAACTCAGATGGGTAAGGCTTCTCCAAGTTTTTGGTCCAGGAGAATTCTGGAGTTGGTATGCTTGAGAATGAAAAATATATTACCACCACTGTTTTAGCCTGCCTATAGATTGTTTCTACTTTCAAGGATGGTGCAAAAGTAAATTTCTTTCTTTTTCCTTTAACTGACAAGGCTGTTACACAGAGAACTCAGAAAGTTTTGAGAAAAAGTAAATTGCACATTCCTGCTTCCTCTTGTATGTCCATACCTGATGGGCTGGGCTGAAGAGGGAGAAGCCTGGCCCAAATGGAAGGATCCATACTAAAGGATTACAACTTCCCAACCCTGAAGGCAGGGGCAGGAGCTCTGACTGTTGAACTAGGGAGGGCATTCAGGCCCCCAAGTCCCCTGCATCTAACCTGTCACCTTAGGAGGGTGAAGCACAGAGTTCTGGCAGCAGAGCAGCCACAGCACTGCATGGCCTTGGGTGTTCAGTGTTTCAGATTGCTCTGGGAGGGGGGGAACTGGATGCTTTTTGAAACGGGGCTAGATGTCTTCAGAGTCTGCAGGGAGAATAGTTAGGCATAGGCATTCTGGGGCTGCTTCTTGCCGAAGAGCCAGCCAGAGTTTTAAGTTATATTGCTAAGACCAGTCATCCACTTATATCTCAAACAGATCATTTGCACCTAATTTCAAGCTACTGCATTATGATCTGGTAGTATCAGCTTCCACTGAAGGCCTGCATTGATGTTAAGGAACGCAGACCACCCCCCCCCCGCCCCCCAATTTTCCCCAGTGGCCCTTACCAGCCCAATGATCAGTTAACAGCACTTGCTGCCCTGGGGTGCTGTGCACTGTCCTAGTTTCCCTGTGCCCTTTGGGTCTGGTTGCTTCTGGAATGCTTTCCTTTTTCATTTCTGCTATCTGCCCAATTCAGGATAAGCCTCACTCTTTCTACTAAGCTTCCTTGATCTCTCCTTGTCCTCAGAACTTCCTGAGTTGGTATAAGTGTCTAACTTGCCTACATGTATTGCAAGTTTTTGCATGCTGTCCTCAGGATGCCCCAGGATAAAGTGGCCCAATAAAAACCATCATAGGTAACCAGAAAACTATAAAACTTGGGGATCCCCATGACTGAGGGATCCCTCCTCAGCTTCACCTCTGGATGCTGGATGCAGCTTGTCCCTGGAAGGACTCTGGGTACCTCGCCCTCAGCATCTACCGGTGTGCTCTCTTCAGATTAAGCCTGACCTCCAGTTTCTAGATTTCCCACAGACCATATGCACTCTGAATTCGGCCTCTTCTCAATCTCATTAATCTCGAGTAACATCTTTTTTTGTTTTTTTAACTCATGTAGCGTGCTTAGGATAGTGTCACCTCCCCACAGAAGGAACAAAGTTGACCTCTGGGGGAGACCTTTTATAACTTGGTAAAAGTGTTTAATTGAGTCTGTCTCATACAGACACGGTATTGCGTGTGACCCTAACAGGACTCATAGTGGGAGTATTTACAAAGACGAGGTCTTATCCTTGGTCTCAGAGTACTAAATGAGAAGCTTCCCTATTAGGACCGAGACATCTCCCAGCCACTGCCCATGTATGACCTCACAGAGAGCTTGCCTGCCCCCTCCCCTCCGCATCGCCTGTCTGCCTGCTGCTGAGGTCGACGAAGACCCCGTGCGGAGCAGGACAGCCATAGCCTCTGCCTCGTTTTGCACAGAAAATCTCTTTGACCCTCTTCCCCTCCTGGCAGGCTAGGGTGCTACCAGAGAGGCAGGAAGGAAAACGTATTTTGATGTAAAATAGAAATATCAAAAAATAGAAATGTATTAGGCATATCAAGAAGGTGTTTTCTTAAAACATCACATGTTGAGCTTGAAGCCATGGACGTAAAGGAAGCTGCAATGACACATTTTCATCTAGGAGTCAGCAGACCACATCCTCCTCGCTCAATTTGGCCTGCTGCTTGTTTTTGTAAAGTTTTATTGGAATACAACTACATCCATTTGCTTCCTTATTGCCTGTGACTGTTTATTACCCTGAAGCAGCAGAGTGGAGTAGCTGCAGCAGAGGCTGTATGGTCTGCAAAATCAAAAATACTCACCGCCTGCCCTTTACAGTAAAGAAAAAGTTTGCCAGCCCCTGTTTTAGTACATTATATCCTTAGTATTTTAGTACCTTATATCCTTAGTAAGGATATACCAAGTATATCCTTAGACTGAGAATGACAGTTATATGAGGCTCTCAGGAAAAGTTGATATTTCAAGAAATAGTCCTAGGTGAATGTTGGGTGGGTCAGTATAGGAAAGATTCTTTGCTGTTTTACCCTACTGGAGTGGTTCAGTGGATTACTTGATGTTCCTTTGGAATTTTCAGTTGAGCTGTGCTGGCAAGAATGCCTGCAGCTTGGGTTTCTGAGGGTCTCCATAGTAGGTGAATGCGTACTGCCCCAATAACTTGAGTAGATTTTTAAAAAATATTTATTTATTTATGCACACAAGAACGGGGGTGCAGGCCAGAGGTGTGGGGGGTGAGAGGATTCACCAGAGACAAAGTGGGGAACAGAACAGGCAGATCGACTGAAATACACTGCTGAGGGGAGCAGCGGGCAGACAGGAGAGGTCTGCTGTGCCATGTGGGTAGCTCCCTGGCCAGGGATCGAACTGGTGCTGCAGTGACTGCAGACAGCTTCATAGGCTGCGTCTTAAGCCCTTGCACCACCAGGGAGGCTCTTGAGTAGATTTTTAACATAGTAGACAATATTTATTGTCTTTTAAGCAAGGTTCTCTGGTATATCTTTATTACACCTCTGTTTGTACAAGTAATATAAGTTGACTGTAAAAAATATTTGGAAAATATACAACAACCCAAAGAGGGAGACTCAGAATTGCCCAGAATTCCTTCAGTCACTGGGGTCTCCTCTTCCTAGCGTACTTACAGCTAATTAACACCAGATAATAGGTATTCATGAGCTTCCCAGAATCAGAAGTGTGTAAAATGAACTTTTTACAACTTGACATAGATTGAACTTTCTCCCGTCACTAAGCATTTTTTAACATAGCTTTTTTTCATTACTATGTAGAATTTTCACATGCGCAGCCTGTGATTTACTTGGTTCCTCGTTGATGTCCATTTTGGTTTCCAACTATTCATTATTCAAAAATGGCATTACGTTTCTCTCTGATTATTTCCTTGGGATAAATTCCTGGGATTAGAATTGCTGGCTTAAAAAAGTATGAGCATTTCTAAAGCTTTCAGTAGACATTGCCAAATTGCCCTCCGGATCTTGCCAATTTATATACTCACCAGAAGGGCATGAAAACGTCCAGCCTTTCCTAGCAAATCAGAAAGGTTACTGTATGTTTATTCGAAAGATCCGGATAGGTGAATGTTGGCGGAGGTGCATGTTGAAATGACAGTGGTGAGTGACCCTATTTATTTTGTCTTCTTTTTCGTGGCAGGTGCCCCCTCCCAAGCCACCCCGCCGACAAGGAGGCTGGGCAGATGACTCCACCAAGGCCTACAAGTGAGTGCGGGCAGCTCCTGAGGGTGGAGGTGTGGGCTCTTTGTTTTCTGGGGTGTTCTTTTATATTTTATAACAGTTTTATTGAGATGTGATTCATGCTCTGTACAGCTCACTCATTGAAAATGTACATTTTGGACATTCTCAGTATTTTCAGAGTTGTGTCATCATTGCTATCAATTTGAGGACATTTTTATTATCCCCCAAAGAAACCCTGTTTGCATTGGCGGTCGCTGCCTGTATTTTCGATCTCCACAGCCCTCGGCGCCTCCCAGATAGCTTTATGTGCTGTGAGCGGCCCGTTGCCATCATCTGAACGGAGTCAGGCGTCCTGTGGGGCCGGCCTCCCCCTGCATAGTGTTCTCACAGCTCACCTATAGCTTAGCATTTTGTGTTCTTCTCAGTGAAATTTTCCAAACAGAACAGAATTGTCTGCTGGATGACAGATCATTTTGGTCCTTAATCCCTAGCCCTGTCTCAGATGAAAGGTAACCCCCCAACAAATAAAACCTACAGGAGTGGGTGACTTTCTCCAGCTGAATTAACTACTTCAGATTTACTCAGGAGGGGATTTCTCTCAAAGGCTAGACTTTGCTCTAGTTTCCTTCAGTGGTGGTTGTATCCATCCAGCACTAGCAGAATTACATATTGTCTCCAGTTCTTATCCTTTCTTGCTTTTTTCCTCTCCCCACCCCTCTCTTTCTCTGTCTGTCTGCACACACGCATGCACGCTTTTGTTCCTCTCTGAATCATTTGAAAACAAGTTGCAGAAGTCAGAAGTCGTGACATTTTACCTCTACGCACTTCACCGTGATTCTGCCAAGATTAAGGACATTCTCCAAATAATCACAGTATTGTCATCACAGCTATGAAGATTCATAATGATTTGATACTATGTAATATGTAGTTTAAATTTTCCCAGCTGTCCCAGAGTTTCTTTTATAGCTCCAGCATCCAACCAGAGTCCACACATTGTGTCCAGTAGTTCTGTCTCTTTTGTCTGTCTTAGTCTAAATACTCTTTCCCCTCCTAACCTCCCTAAAACCTTGATATTTTTGAAGAATCCAGGCCAATTGGCTTATAGGATGTCTCCTGTTCTGGATTTCTCTGACTGTCTCCTCATAATTAGGTTCAGGCAAGTACAAATGATAGCACATACTTCTTATCTCAAAATGGTGTAGAGGCTGTACTCAGACCTCTCACTCCCGTGCTCATTACCCCTCATTCCCAGCCATCCCCTGTGGGTAACCTGTCTTAGTTTCTGATTTATCCTTCCTCTACTACTTTTTACAAAAAGAAATAAACATACATACGTGAGTATTTCAAGTCATCCTTCTTTGTTTCCTCTATATTAGGATTCAGCAAACTGTGGCCCACAGGCCAGCTGCCTGTTTTTATAGATTGAGTTTTATTGGGACACAGCCACACCCTCTCTTTTTAAAAATTTAGCTCTCTGATGCATGTGGAATTAATTCCGATGATGGTATGAGGTATGGATCCAGTTTTCTTTTTTTGAAATTGTTCTTGTCCCAGCCACTTATTTAAAATGCCCTCTTTGCCCTTCCATTTCTGCATCATTGCATGTGCACCGACTTTGGGACTTGCTCTTCTGCACCAATGGTCTGTCTTTCTGTTCATATGCCACTACATACCACACTGTTTTCTTTGTAGAACATAACACTCATTTTTAGTGTTAACCAAGAAGGGGGCTTTGAAATCTGGGTCTCAGATGCAAATGAAAATCTTATAAAGGAATCCCAATTTTAAATTATTAGGGCTATTTTAGGCATGTAGTATTGGGAATTTATTTTCAAATATAGCAATGGGACAAAGCCTCTTATGTATCAAATGTTTACCCCTCAGTGAGTATATCGGTGATTTCTCCAGGTCCAATCAGTTTTCTCTCAGAGAGGGATACTTCTCTGTTTCATGTGTTAACTTGCTCGCCCCTCAGCCTGTGGCCTGTTCTGACCCCCGGGAGTGCCCACGCCTCATCTTCCAACCTTCTCACTCCTCTGTCGACACTAAGTCTCCAGCGATCTTGAACGGTCTTGGTAGTTTAACTTTCCCCTGCACTCTGGGGGCACCAAAATTTCTACCTCTAGTCTAGTTCTTCCCCTGACTTTGACCTGTTGTCCTGTGACCTTCCCATTTGAACATGTGACTCAGCCCTGACATGTCCAGATCAATCCTTTTACTTTTCACCCCTTCTGCCTATCTCCAGCCTTCGCCTCCCAGTGATTCCCTCAGGTCTCCATCTTCCCCACCGCTCAGACCGTCCACTTGGGACTCACCCCGGACTCCTCTCTGGATCTCAGCTCATGTCCAGCCTAGCAGCAAGCCGTGTTAAGTCTGTGGCTGAAGCACATCTGTTGTCTGCTCTGCCAGTGCCCGGCCGTAGCCCCCATCATTAACAGCATTGGCACAAGTGAGAACCTCCTGATCGGCCCTCCCCGTCCACCCTTGTCTCCCTCAGCCTAATCTCTACATAGCAGAATAACCCTCTTCAGACATAGATGAGGTCATTTTGCTTGTCTGCTTAGAACCCTCCAGTGATGTTGCTTGCAGTCAAAGTAAAGCCCAGCTGAGTGGCTTAAACAACAAATACTGGGCCTCTCTGGTGGCGCAGCAGTTGAGCGCTGGGCTGCGAAGCTGCCCGCAGCCTCTGCAGCACTGGTTCGATCCCCAGCCGCCAGCGAGGGTCCCACATGGTGCGCAGACCTCTCCTGCCGCCCGCTGCTCCCCTCAGCAGTGTATTTCATCAGTCTGCCTGTTCTGTTCCCCGCTCTGGCTCTGGTGAATTCTCTCCCGCGCTTGACTGTACCTAGTGCTTGTACAAATAAATAAAGAAATCTTAATAGATAAATAAATAAATAGAAAAGAATCTTTAAAACAACAACAACAACAAATACTCACCACTCACTATTGCATAGGCTGGAAGTAATGCATGAAGAACCCTCACCGTGGTCTCCACTCTCTGACGTCATACATGTAGAGTAGCACCTCACACTCCATGTTCCCATTTTCTGCTTTATTTATCACCGCTGACCTATATGCATATGTCTGTGTATGTATATACATTGTCGTTTTCTCTTTAGTATGAGTTCCATGAGCAGAGACAGACTGTTATTTACATACCCCTGGGTACCTGCTGCAATGCCAGTATGTAATAAGCACTCAGGGACTGTTGAACTAATGTATAGTCAGATAATTGCTTTTCTTTGATCCAAGGTCAGGTGCCAGTGTGATCAGGTTCTTGGTGAGGGCCTCTTCATGGTTGTGTCCTCATGTAGCCTTCCTTTGTGCATGCATCTGCACATATGCAGGGAAAGAGATCTGGTGCCTCTTTCTCTCTTTATAAGGGCACTAATCCTGTCATGGGTCTTTGCCTCCCAAAAACCCCCCACCATTGCATTGGGGGTTAAGGCTTCAACATATAAATGGGGGGCTATACATTCAGTCCATAGCTACCTCTTACTGGTGCATCATCCCAACCTGCCATGTCAGGTAAGCCTTGGATGAGGTAGGCACCCTTCTGCATGGGAGGTAGGGGGAAAGTGAGGCTTATGAGGTCTGGCTCTTTGTTGCCAGTGGGGGCAGGCTGTTTACATATCTGATTGAGGAGCTCAAAGCCAAGGGGTAGGAGTTTCCCGGGAATACCTTTGCTTTGTTTGAATAACACTGCCCACGATAGAGACAACACAGCAGGGGTCAGCCACCTTGCTGGCTGGGGCTGTCAAGTGCCACCACCCAAATGCTCACCAATGAGCCACAGGAAAGGGCTGCCTTGAGGAATTGCCTGGAACCTGGGTTCGCTACCTGTGCCTTCTCCTGCCACCAAAGACATAGCTCTTCCGAAGAGTCCGTCTTGGAAACAGGCTGTCCTTGGCACTGAAGTTGCCTGAGGTGGGACACTGATATGGCCAGGGGGAATAGAGCTGAACAAGAGGCAAGTAGACTTGGTAAAGAGAGGAAGGAAAGGTAGTCTGATTAAGTTTTGTCTCAGAGTGTCTGTTTTGGGGTTTGTCCCTGCATCGATCTGCAAGGGAATGAGGCAAGTAATGGCCCCTCAGGGACTTTCAGGACTTTGCTCTCAATGTCAGCCGTCATTTTCAATCACCCTCTCCCTCCCAGCCATTAATTTTGGCCCAGGATCATGGGGACTTGTCCATCTATCACTCCTAATTGACACTAAATGATCTGTCAGTTTATTGATGAACGGCAGGAGTGGAATTGTCACAATATATTTTACTTTCTAACAACTCCTCCTGACAATTTTACCTTGTCCATCTCACTCTCCTCACATAAATCTCCATTGGCCGCCCGTTCCTCCTCATGGGCTGTTCTGGTGCCAGCCACTTCCGCACCATCTGCACGCGTCAAGGACATCAAGATGGCGGTGGGACGGCCGTGTGCCGGTCCCGCGCTTGCCCCTCCCCCCCCCTCCCCTCTTTCTCTCCCTCTTCTTAATTTTTTTTTTTTTAATGGCATAGATGTTTCAAGAATACTAAAGGGCTTCTGTCCTCTCCCTCTGTGTCATTGCCATCCCGGAGTCTCTTTACCTTCTTGTTAGCAGCGAGTAGTTAATTCTTATTAGGCGACAAAAGTGTGAAAGGCAAAAGCTCCCGGGGCTTGGTGGCTCCCCGCTCTGCAGGCACAGGTGCAAACACATGTTTTGTCCTTCCAGGCCAGCTCTTACAGGCTGTCCATCCCCTCAGCAGCCAGTTCCTTCACAGAGGGCCGGTTAGTCAGCGCTTCCCCACTGGTGAGCCAGACGCGGCCCTGGGGGTGCAGGTGCCGTGATGTGGGTGCCGGGGATGCCGAGAGTGCGCTGCCAAGGCCCCTGGGCTGTCACCTGTCCCCTTGAACTCACGCACCTGTCCATCCCAGATTTCCATTCAAATGTTGAAGTGTTCGTGTGTGGAAAGAGAGGGGGCAGTACAGGCCTAGGTATAGACAAGGTCATTATGCATGGATATGAAAAGCACTTTCTCTTTTATGAG